GTCACTTGGAGACTTTTGTTTAATAATTGTGCCTAGTGGCAGGATTTTTCTTAAAACATACAGAGGCCTCTTTTCTCACTAAATAAAACATATGTTTTCTTCATCTTGAGTGAAAAGGATATTTCTCTTACTCAAATTGTCAGTGGAAATTATGAATCATGAGCCACTATTCAACATGGGTGGCTGTTTTCTTTAGTATGTCTGTATTTTCCAGTTAAGAGCATGCTTTTTTCTTTCATCTTGAAACAGAAAGATTACCAACCCAGTTAGTAGGAAGAAGAAACAGGGCCTGATTCATCTGGGTTGGATTCCTGATTCAGATGAAGCTTCCTTTAACTTTTGAAGCTGGTGCAGTAGGAAATGCTTTATACCACTTTGCCTTGACAGTGTGAAAAAGAAAGAAAGAAATGCAGAAAAGATGCTCAGCAGTATCTCTTGCATTTCTTTGATGTAGCTCCTTGGCCAGGCCAGACTGCTGCGGACCACTGAGGGTGCCTGTCTGGCTGACAGCACATCCCTGTCAGGGGCTGAACAGCTCCTTCACAGATGGAAAACTGGGAACAGTGTCCACATCAGAGCCTCATACAGATGAAGCCCCAAGCCAAGGAAATTTTGCTGAATAAATATATTGTGCTTGCAAGAGATCCTTATTCACTGGCTGCATGTTTTAATCATAAAAAAACACACAGCTTTTTGAATAAAAGCATGGCTCTTTTTAGAAGCAAAGTACTTTTTGCTCTGGAAGTGTGCCTTAAAGATTGCTTATTGTAGCCTACAGAAGGTCTGTAAGTCATAGAAGTTGCTGTCTGGTTAAGATTTTGTCAATCAACTGGGTAGATGTCAGGTATTTTTCTGGAAGCTACCTGTCCCCACAGGCAGTGTTTGCCAACTTCTATTGCAAATGGGGCTGTGTCATGGTCATGAGATATTGCAGCTCCCCAAATAGTAAATCCTTTATTTTAGTTTTTCTTCCTTACACTCCTGAGACCCATGCATCCCTCTAACACAGCCGTGACAATGTCTTTAACTTCTCTTTCATGACCACAGTATAAGCAAGCAGGGCCTTCTTATTTATTCAGGGCCTTTAACTTCTTCCCCTGAGTTCCCCCTTTCTACACAAGTGAGTCTTTGTAAAGTCCTGCTGCTGTCAGCCAATGTCCTGGAGCACTACCCTGCTGCAGGAAGGAAGTCCTGTTGGGCTTCTGAAGCACAGGAATTGAGAAGAGCCAGGGCATGGAATGAAGTAGATTTCCATGGAGCTGTGGCTGTGACTGAACAGCAGAGACACAGCCAGGAGGAGGGACAGAAATGCAAGCATTGGTCTGGCTTTCAGGAATGTAGGTAGCAAGAGTTTTGACTGAATAGACAAAAACAAATACCTTATATTTTGTGGAGGAAGGTAGCCAGCTAAAGGACTGAGAATACCAGTTTTGAACTTCTTCCTCTACTATTTGGCCTCAGGAGCTTTAAAAGCCTCTCATACTCCATAGATTATGGAGTAATCCATATCCAAGCCACCCTTGGAAGGCAATATGCTCCCTCCTGCTCTCATCAGCTGGAGCTAATGTAATTTCTACTTTTCTCAGTGTTTCAGGGATTTTTCCAGAAGAACCTTAGAGCAGCAAATGAGCCTTCCTTCATTACGTGGAAAGGGAATTCTCCCTTGCAAGTCTTTGCACAATCCAGATGTTAAATCCAGGCCTCAGTTTTGAGATGGCAATACAATATGTAAGCTGCAGCAAAACTTGCTGCTGCAGTGCATTGAGACAGGGGATGAAATATCATTGGTGATGGATTTGCCAACAGTGTACTAAAAACTGGGAGGAGAGTTGCAGGATTTAATATGTGGAGGATGTTCGATATTTCAAAGTTGTTAATGTTTGCAGTTTTTAAAAATTATTATGCTTGATGTGTGCAGCAGCTAAATCTTTCTTGTTGATAATCAGAGATGATTTATCTCTTTGTAAAAATTGATCTCAAGCCATACAAGATCTTATTACTCCCAAGAGGAATTAAATAGCTCAGGCATACTCATTTAGATGAATTTCACCCCCTGACCTCTTATTCATATCTCCAGTTCATACCTGTCCAGTTCATTTTGCCAGAAAAGCTGTTTAATCCTTCCTATTTCATCCTCTCCTCCAAGGAACCCTACTCACTGAATTGAACTCCTAATCACAGAACATAAATACAAACTTTCTTCTCTCAAGGAAATGGGAGATTTTTATCTCAGTGGTTAGACTGCTGTAACCATGATGGAATGGACAACTTAAGTGTATATGGAGTGTCTCATTGCAGTTAAAGTCAAACGAAGGCAGAGACATAGATCCACCTCTCCAGTAAATCTGTTACAGGCAGAAGTCCCTACTGACCACATGGAATTATTTTTAACTACATATTTTCAAATACCTGTATTTATTTTTTTTTTTCTGTATTTTTCTGCATGGCAACTTATAGATAGAAATATATAGGGAACTTTCCATATTATAAAGCACTTTATGAATAATGGTGTGTGATATCTTCAGTATACCAATCCTCATTTTGATTCATTTGTTCGCTTTACTCAAGTTTGGGAGCCTCTTTTCCCCAGCCTTAAATAAACTTCTTAAGGCCTGTAAGAAATATGATAGAATTTAGAACTCTTTGAACTGTGAAGTCAATGAAATACCTGTACTAAGGGAAAATGGTACTCTTCATGTCATTTTTTTCCCTATCCTATATATTAGATATGAAATTGTGGTTTTAAAGCTAATCATTAAACTCCAAGAGAATTCATACTTGGGTTCATAATTCAGCTTGGGAAGATCAACTTACGAAACTCATATCAAGCTTTGCATTTCAAACCATCTCAAGATATGCAGATATTCAAACTATTATATATTTATCATTTATCCTTCCTCCAGAAATAGTTTTTTCCCAAAACTGGGCATTCCCAAAGAGAGATTTTTCTTTTTTAAATGATGACCTGTTAGAATATCAGGCTTTTTGTTTAGTTTTACTGACTGTTATTTTTTATTGTCTTTTATTTTAATCCTTTCTTGTCACACAGTCTCTATAGACTTAGTTCGTGTTATTTTTACATTGTTTTTTCTTTTTTTTTTTTTTTTTTCTCATTCTGTCATTTTTTATCTTCTACCAGCTCCTTTTGATTTGGAGGTATTGGAAAATGGCAGAAAGAAATTGAAAAATGCTGCATAAGGGATTAAAGGAAAGGAAGAATATTTGGAACAATATGAAAAAACTGTTTCTCATGAAAATAATAGGAAATAAACACATGTAAACAGTGACATTACCTCACTGCCTAGAAACAGATCCAAATTTTTGGTTTTCACTTTTTTTATTATTTTTTTTTTCCTAAGTGCTTTTCCTGTTTCCCATTAAAATGCTGTACAGGGATAAATTGCCCTGCATGCTCTCCCCATTGTGCTGTGGATTTTACTGACATTAATTCTATCACATGACATGCATGGATGCATGAATGTTCTTATGGACGCATATGGCATAAAAAAAAAGTGTTTTATTAAGAATAAAAATACCTTTTCAAAAAAGAAAGGAGTAATAGAACCTGAGACTTCCACAAACTTTGTTATAATGAATATAGATCATTTATCTCTCTAGTGCAGGATGTATGTATTTTGAACTGCTTTGTTCAGACTTCCATCCTTTGTTGTTTATCCAGCAGCATCCCAAGGCAAACATCAAGTTTTTTCTTCTTTCAGAAACTCTTTCTTTCTTGAATTTCCTTCTCAGTCTGGTGAAAGGTTCCAAGACTCTCCACTCTTACATAGGATCTTTTATCCAGTTCTTCTCAAAGGTAGTATATGTTAGGTATTTTCAACTATAATTTTCAAACACAATCATTTCATCCATATACTTTTTAAACCATGAAATCAATGTATTTCTGTATGTACAGAGGCAAGCTTAGTTTTCTGGGGAGGTCAAGTAATTTGTAAAAGAATGGTGGGAAAAAATGTAACTCAATACACCAGGGTTCTCCTCTCCATCTCTGCCTAGGAGCTGGTTAGCTGGTTATATAGCAGGGCTGTGTGATTACCAGTCCCTGCCTCATTTGATGCTCTACTCATTTTCATTTGCCTAATGTCACAGTTAGCAGCTAGCACCTTCCCTCTGTAATACTTCTGTGTTTCCAGGTGTTTGTTGAGGAAAGCCCTGTTCTTGATGTACCAGTTTATTTCCTTTTTGTCCCCATTTTCCCTATCAAACTTGAAACCAGCCTTCTGTTTGCCAGACAAGTAGGCTGTGTATCTCTCTCAGCAGTATCCTCTGACCAATATTTGGGGTTTTCTAATGTATTACAGGGAGGTTCAGAATCAATGTAGCTCTCTGGTTCCAGCAGCCCAAAGGTGTCTGGCAAGATACACAGGCTGGATTCACAGCTGGTCATTTATGGTCAGAGTTTTGATGGACTTCACATGGAGCATGAAGGATTGATCATTTCATAGTACTGAAGGCTCTGAGCAATTTGAGGCAGGTCAAGTAACCCCTGAACCCCCTGGGGAAGTTGTAAAGGTTTCATGTCAAACCACAAGAGGAAGACAATTGCAATGCAGAATCCATGAATATACTGGCCATAGGGACTGTGTTGTGTGTGTGCTGCAATAGTTAGTGCCTCTGACTTTAGGGACAGATCTTGTAAGATTTGAACTCACCTAAGGAGCAATTGCAGTCTTACTATATATATATATATATCTTGTAATATATTCATCTATTAGTAAAAGTATTCAGATTTTAATTAAATAAGAGGAGCCCCAAGGTGTGAATGGCAAAGTTGTATTGATAGCACAAATACGAAAAATGTAGATGTGCATAACTGAGGCAATGTGTCACAGCGAAGTCCCTGCTGTACTCTCTCAAGTTTTGTTCCCCTGCTAAACTAACCCTAACAAAAGGTCATGTGTGGTACCACGAGGCTTGGCTTTGGAGGTAGTCCTTTTTTTTTTGTCCCTAGTGGAAAGTTTATCATAAAGGAGACTAGAAAATAAAATTTCTCTCTGTAGCTACACTACAGGAATCTTACATTTTCTTCAACTGAAAGCTGACATCTTTAACACGTTATTATCATTTCCTGTCCCAATCAGTGGATCAGTCAGGGTGTCAGGTCACAAACAAGGCTAGCGAAAAACACAGTTCAGAACAGTGGGTGTCACATGACTGAGCACAGGGCCATCATGAGAGCTCAGGTAGGTTGGGAAAGGTGGGGAAATGCTGACTTTCCATTGTCCAAGTTCAAGTAGCTGGAAAACTCAGCTTCCAAAATTTCCATGCCACAAGCAACTTATACCTAGAATAGAAATGGATAATCAGTTATGTGCAGCACCCATATGTCGGAATAAGTACAAATTCTGCTTCTGTTCTGTATCCAAAACTACTTCTGTAGTAGCTTCTGTATGGCTTAAGTAGTAAGGAAGTTCCTCATTCTCTGCAGAATATTTGCTCTTAGCCAGTAACACTCATAAATCTAGTAATTCACTTCCCCACAGAGGTTTTGGGTACCATGCATCATCTCAGGAGTCTGAACTGAACAGTTTAGCATCTCTTTCTCATGTGTAAGATCATTACTTTGCACAGACGTGAAACAGTGGCATTTCTAGGAACCACTCCACTGTTAGGATTCAAAAGGTTTCCAGAGATTTTGGTTTTACTTTTGTCTTCCTGCATCGTGGCAGCATGAACTCTGTGAACAAGCTATGGTAACAATCCTGCCCAGTCACCCATCCACCCAGAATCACTGGCAGATGCAGCAAGCAGTTCTTCCCTCCCAGAGAAAGCTTTGCAACAGACACAAGCAGAGGTACAACTGGGCTTAACACAACCTCAGATTCTTGGTTTTTTAGCTGCATTCACTGCTGCCATGGGCATGTATTCACTGTTGTACTCATGGGAGTTGGATTCACACGTCTGATTCTGCCAACAGAGAGAAAATGCCGTGAATTTAATTTGGGGTCACTTACCTTTGCCACTCCTGCCTTTGTTCGTTAAGTAGGGCAGTTACTCTATTTTCAGTGGGAACATTACCATCAGACTAGATATGTCAAACTCACACAGAAAACTTGGAATAAAACAAAATTAAAATTAAAAACACACATTACCCAAAAGACTAGCTAATGTCCTTGGTCTTCTTTCCTGAGTCAAATTTAAGTGGTTTTGCAGCAGAATAGTGCTGGAATTGCTCCACTGATAATTGTTTCCCATTCTTAAAGAAAACAATCAGGCAAACTGCTTACCAAAGTAATTTTGCTGACCTGTGCAGCATTTGTCCTCTTTCCTTTGGTTCCAAGCCTTTAAATCAATAAACAATTCTGTCTTAGAAAAATTCAATCTGAGCCATTGTCATCAATGACTTGAATTCCAGCGGTAAATTAACAACTCAATCTTTTTGTCAAAAAACACAGCACATGCTGAGTGAGTATTTGCCTGTCCCACTCTCTAAATGTCATTAAATCAAGTTCCCTATCCATGACCTTTGGAAGAAGGGTTCTGTATAATCTCATGTATTTGCTTACCTTGTTCCTTAAGCAACAGGCCACAACACAGCAGACACAGGAAATGGCAAAAATGATCAAACTGATAATTATCCATGACATGAGTCCAAGTGAAAAGCAGTCCTCCTTATCTGAAGATGAGGAGGCAAAAAAAAAAAAGTCATTACTGATAGTTTTCAGTTTTGCCTTCCACAGATAACTTCAATTTTTTTCCCCCTTCATATTAATAAACTAGCAAAAGTGAACACTAAAGAAGGATTTTGCTGAGGTGAATTGCCACCCTGGAAAAGTGTATTCAGTAGGAAGCAGAAAATGACATTTTTTCCAGAAAGAGAGGGGAACTGTTGGTACACAGTGCTGAAAGTGTAGACTGAAAAGAAGCCAAGCCAGAGAGCACACTGAGAAAGAAAAGAAAAAAAAAGAAAGCTTCCAACCTCCAACATGGTGTTTCAGATCTGAACAAGGTTTAAGATTATACATAAGTACCACAGGTGATTAAAGGGCAGACTGGTCAAAAGAAGGGTAGACTTTGGCAGTCATGTTTGGATAGAAAGGCAAGCTGAGGTACTCAAGATTACCCTTGCCCAGATCTGGGAGAAAATATGACAGGGTGTGAAACATTTAGAAAAAGCTCTGAGCATCTGGCTATGCATACAAGCGGAAGTGGACGCTGCATACAAAACCAAATGTCACAGATTGATTCTGAGGAGCTTTTTAAATACAGAGAGGATTGAGAGACAACTTGGTTCAACCACATAATTGCTGTAGCATTTTAACTTCTATCTTCATTTATTCCTGGTGCTGGGAGAGGAAAAGAAATCAAGGGAAGGACAACAGGCCTTGTTGCATTATGCATTATGCAGCTGAACTGTATGCAGAAGCGAGAATTGGTGTGAGCAAAACCACCATAAACTCTTTCAGTTTAGTATACTAAAGAGATGCCTAATGAAAGCCAGGTCAAAATTAAAGCCCGGGCAGTTAATCTTCTGGAGTTAGTCCAAACCCTTCTCAGTAAACTGTCAAAAATTCTCAACTGCTGTGGATCTCTTCTACTCTAAGAAGGTCCTAAAGCTTTAGATCTGTTTCACAGAGGCGAACACCATCTTCACATCTCAATGGCACCCAAGTGTTCCATATACCACTACTAGTATGGGTATTTGACAATCAATTTTCTTTAATTCTAGGCTTTTGAAGATAGCTCTCAGAATGACTTTTTTCCCACAGGCTAGACCTAATCTTAACATTTATACTCAGCAACTTTAAAAATGGCCAAGAGAAATTGCTGTTGTAGGCAAAGGAGAGACTGTAGTACTCTAGAAGCTGCAGTCAAGCTAACTTGGGTTCCACTGCCACTACGCAAAGCTCAGCATGACCTGCAAAACCTGCCCAAGAAGATGAATAAATATGGAGAGGACATGCTGAGCAGTGTGCCAACACAGCTCCACTGTTACCAGCCCCCTGCTAAGTAGTTCTAAGCTGCCTGGTAATTAGCTGTGCAAGCTCTAGTCACATTTTTCACTGCAGCATAGCTATGCCCAATGTCTACTTATCAGTAAATTGAAGTGAGGGGAGAAGAGAACTTACCTTGGACGTACAAATAGGTTTCTTTCAGGCAGCAATCTATGTAAGGAGGGGGTAAGAATATCTCCAGGCAGTAGGTATAAAAGTCATTATGTTTTCTTTCCAGATTTTTAAGAATGAAAGTGGTGCTGCTATTTGAATTCTGTGTCTGACAGTAGGTGACATTACTCTTGGGGATAACACTCTCTTTGCTCAAATGGAGTGCACAGATTTCCTTCTTCTCACGCCCTTTGAAGAGGGTCATGCTGAACTCACTCACATTTTTGGGGTTGGGGAATGTGAATTTGAAGTTTCCATTTTCAAATTCCACCATCACCTGGGCATCAGAGAGGTGGGGCTGATCTGAAGACATGAAAACAATAAGTATAGTCACACACGTAGCCGTGAAAAGAATCTTAAAGTGCTAAGAACCTCATTTAAACAAAACAAATGAACCATGTGATTGTAATCTGAGGCATGTAGGCAGCCAGAACGGTTTGGCTGTGAAAAGCAGCCCTCACAATGAGATACCATTGCATTCTTGGTTGTGCCAAACATTACTGATAAAATAAATGAGACCTGGCCTGTTATCTGCTCTAAGGCTGTAGAGATTACTGTTAGCATTAGATCAGTGACCTTGAAAATATTACTTGCTACTAAGGCTACTAAATGGTGAAGTTACTAATATTACTTACAATATCAGTTGCTAGATATTGTTTAAAGGCCCCCTGGACCAAACACTGTATAGACATAAAATCCCTGCCTCAGTGTCAGATTGTCCTATTCATAAATAAAACAAGTGAGACAAAGATGATAATGATGACAATTATCTCTGGTTTATGGTTTGTAATATGCACCCTACTGAACATGCAATTATAAAATAATTTAGATTAGAAAAGATCATTAAGATCATCATGTATAAGCATTGGCCCAAAATTTCCAAGTCCACCAATAAACCGTGTCCCTCAGTGCCACACCAACGTGTCTTTTAAATCCCTCCAGGGCTGATGACTCTACCACTTCTCTGGGCAGCCTGTTCCAATGCTTGACTGCTCTTTCAGTGAAGACATTTTTCTTAATATCCAGTCTAAATCTCTACTCATGTAAATTGAGGCCATTTCCTCTTGTCACTTGTTACTTAGGAGAAGAGACTGGACTCTACCTTGCTGCAGCCTCCTTTCAGGCAGGTATAGAAAATGGCAAGTTCTCCCCTGAGCTTCCTTTTTTTCACGCTTTTTTCACCACCAGCTCCCTCAGACACTCCTTTTATCAGCTCTGTTGCCTCCTCTGGACCCACTCGGACACTTCAATGTCTTTCATGTAGTGAGGGGCCCAAAACTGGACACAGGATTCAAGGTGTGGCCTCACCACTGCCAAGCACAGGGTGACGGTCATTGCCCTGATCTTCCTGGTCACACAGCAATCAATACAGGATGCCACTGGCTTTCTTGGTCACCTGGACACACACTGGTCTGTGTTCAGCCAGCTGCTGACCAGCACCGTCAGGACCTTTACCAGGCAGCTTTCCAGACACTCTTCCCCCAGCTTGTAGGGCTGCCTGGGTTGTTGTGAGCCAAGTGCAGGACTTGGCACTTGGACTTGTTGAACCTCATAAAATTGATCTCAACCCATTGATCCAGTCTGTCCAGAACCTTCCTATACTCCCACCTAACACTTTCACCTAACTTGCTGTTGTCTGCAAATTTATTGAAGGTGCAAGTGGGGAACTGCACTTGTAAGCAGCCACCAGCAGGATGTAACTGTATTCACCATCACTCTCTGGGCCAGGCCACCCAGTAAGTTTGATGATGTTGCTGAAAATTTAAAATGGGATGTGAATGCCAAGCTCCTACGTGACTGCCTTAACCACAGGACTTCACTTATCTTTGTGGGATAGATAACGATTTGAGACACGATATAGTTTCAACCTAATTATATAGATGGTTATAGCACCATTATTGCTCAGATAATGGAAGGTGTAGAGGACAAATGTTACCGTGTGCATGCACCCACATGCAATCCAGAAATCACATTTGTCCCTCCCAAAATCTCTATGAGAAGATTTCAGATGTTGTGTGACTCTCATTTTGCAAACTTCTTGGAGAAGCAAAGAAAGTGAACTCACTGAAGACGTCTGCTGTCTCACAGTTTGGCTTTGTAAAGTCAGCAACCAATTGCACAGAAAACTCCCTCAGAAAAAAATATGTTAAAATGTGCAGTAAAAAATGACCATTTTTTTCTTTAAGGGCAGTATTTTCTGATGTATAAAGGCATCTAAAACCAAAAAACAAATTAGGTAAATTCATCTTACCTAAATTTTTGCATGCACATGGTGAGTAGCTGTCAATTCCTGAAAAATACAAAATTGTTTTCTGTTTAAAATTCAAGAAGAGTGACACAGGAACAGGGGGTTAACTATGCAGTGTTAAGATGCTGAAGCTATTTTATAATTTGTATCATCCTATCTGATCCTTTCTGTGCTACGCTTTAAAGTCATATGATATGATAAAATAATGAAATATAAATATCAAAGTAGAAAGAAAATGCCCAAGGCAGAATTTATATTGATCATATATATAACATTCACAAATTCTTAAAACACTTTTGCAAAGTAATACGTGTGCTTCAGAAATATAACTGACATGAAAGTAACTTTCACCAAGATACTGAGGAAATCTGCCTGAAATAAAAAAGCTTATTTCTGATTTCTCATGAATCTTGATTTTGCAATGAGCCAGCATTATATTTTTCCCAGTCCAAAGTACTCATTTCCATTAATGTTTGTTCTGCTTTCCCCACTGCATTACATAGCCCTGAAACATCTTTCATAATTATATGGATGATGTTCCAATATATGCATCAAGAAAACATTCAAGCAAAGCATATGGTTTTGTTTCTTTTCCAATAGCAAATTTTTCTCTTATTGTTCATAGGTGATCTTCATTATAGGACACAGACACACTTAATAATTGTTCTGCTTTTTTTTTATGAACCACTCCCTTTATCACCATACACTACGGCAGCACTTTGGAACAGTTTGTATTTTAGTACTGGCATCATAGCACAGTCTGATAGCGTTTCACTTGGAATTTTTCTTTTTGCAATGGCCTAAAATTAAATGTTCAGATAGCTAAACAGATAAACAGAAAAATATTCTATCTGCTGTTCCTGTTTTCTGGTAGCCTGAGTAAGTTCTTCAGATGCTGCTTAGAATGAAATATATCTACATTAGGATTTTATGATGCTAAGGAAATACAGACTTTGTAAAGACTTTGAAGCACTATCCTATTCTTGTTAGAGCTACATGGTAGTCTAGATACATCCACACAGAGTAGATGCCCTGTGCCTCTGTGACTGCAGAGTATAAATAATATTTTTTTCCCAAGGCACTTGTTACTTTTGACATCTGGCCTGTAAATGCACAGGAACATAGGATCATTCTCTTTTGGATGCCTTTGTAGGATCTCAACTCTTACAAGCTTTCAGTGTTCATTCTTTTTTCCTTTTTTGAATTTCTGCTCCCCAGTTATAGCCATTGGCAGGGCATTGAAATGAATGATACTTATTTAAGATATATTTAGTGCGACACAGAAGCTAATGGACTTCTGGAAGACACTTTGTGATGCTCAGTTAGAGAGCAATAGAAACTATTATACCTTCTTGACTGATTTACCATTTCCCTAGTTATCAAATTCTTCCTGGATTACTGTGCAAAGTCAGCACCCTTATCTAATTCAGTGACAGTTCTAATATCTGTACTTCTCTCAGGACTATTACTTAAGTGTATGATAACAAACAAGGTATTTAACATCTTGTACCACTGGTGTGAAGATAAGGCAGAGAAAACACACATTTTGCCAAGCCACAATTAAATAGAACCACTGAAGGCACAAAGTGCAAGCCCTTAAAATATTATACAGTCCGAAAAGATGAAAGAAAAGGTCAAATAAAGAAATAATTCTTGATAACTTATATGTTGCATGATGAAAAGAAACAGTTGCTATGAGACTAGCATTTGAGATAAAGGTCATTTAAAACACTCTGTAGTTTGACATCCTGTAGTTTGGTAAAACATTACCTCTAAAATTAGGCCACACACCAAACAAATTATTTAGGGAAGGGAAGAAAAAAACCAAATGTACAACAGAAGCCAGGGAGCATGATGAATGCATAAACTTATCTGATACTTTTGAGAAGCATCTACCTGGAGTTGAAACCTCTACATTTGTCACTGGTCATCTGAGAGGAAAGGCAGATGCTGACTCTGTCAGGGCAGCCACAGAGCCAAGTGGTGCCATATTCCTTCTGTGTCCCAGAGGAGCATGGGACAAACATACTCTGAGCACTAAATGAACAACTTCAGATTTGTTTTCTCTGTTTGTCTCTGAGAATAGTTCAATTTCGCTGTTAGCTAATGAAATTGCCCTTTCATACCATGTGGGTTAATATGTTTGTCAGAGATCATGGTTTTAATCCTTATTTTTAATGGAAAAGGGCAGAGAGAGGTCATTAAGCACTTAGTTCATGTGACCTTGAGGCAAACTGAAAGATCGTTTTGTATTCTCTCCAACCCAGAAACCTAAAATGTCTGTTTTCAAGGAAGACTCAGTAATATATTTCTCTGAATGAGCATTTTGGTAAATGTGATGCAATTAGTAATTCCTCTGAAACAAGTGCCCATATAGAAGAGTGTGCTTAGCATGGGATAGAGGTGGCACATTTTAAAATTAGATTAACAGTGCCTGAGATTAAAACACAAAATTGCCAACACGGATTGACCACAATAGGTGAGAACTGATATAAATTTCCTCATATAAAAGCTCACTAGCTATTCTGCATCAGCTCCTAATGTGAATGCACTTGCTGAATACTAAAAAGTTATTCATTCCCCTTGCTGATCTTCTGTGCCCATTTGTACCCATTCATTCCTAGGTAATCACATGGACCTGTATGTTAATGGTAAGACACATTTGGGATGTTTCTAGCCAAGCACCAGTCAGAATGAATGCACATTTAGTGGAATGTGAGATAGGAAACTGGGATTTAAAAATCCAATAGTATTGAAAGATTCACTGACTAATTTTCCCTAATCTACCTCAGAAATATGTGAATAGAAGTCTACATGGTAGTATTGCTGAAATGGAACAGAAGAATTTCACTGGTTCAGCAATAAAAATGCTTAGACACAGCTTTTAGATTCCTTTTTGTTATTTTTCATAAAAGAGATAATTCAATTGCATATTTTGCAATGTTCAGTTACAAAATGATATTCAATTGCAATTTGGTTTGAGACACGAGGAAACAAATCTAGTTTGTTTCCTAGCAGTGTCACAATGTGGAGTTGAGAGGAGTTGTTTCTGGCTCACCTGATGTGAAGCAGAGTACCAACACAAATATTGTGGTTTAGATATAAATCTAAGAGATTACCATGTGTATGAAAGTTACATCTTGTTATGTTAAATTCTGAAGGAGAGCATGTGTGTACATTTGTGTATAACTGTATTTACAGTCATGTACTTTTCCATCTCAATTTCATCTTTAGTGCAGCAGGAAAGCCTTTTGGCAGAAGTTTGGGAATTTCTATGGTAGTATGCTTGGATACTGAGGCCAATGGAAAGTGTGTTGTTTTCATATTAATGGGATTGCAATTTTGAGCTTTCTCATTGCTCTTTGAAAGACCCAGCACTATTTGAAAACATCACCGATCCATTACGTATTTTGGTCCTAACAGAAGTTTAAAAAACACTTTCAATCACTTTTCAAGCTTAGTTTAGGGTAGAATAAGATACTGTCACTTTGTTCTCTTGCTGCTTATATTATCTTCCCCAGCTCTCAGAAAACTAAGCTGATAAAAAGAAGCATAATTTCACTTTTGTGTGTTTGCTTCTGAAGATGAGCAAGGAAATTGAAGACCCCACATTTAAAACAAACACATTTGTTTGTTAATACTAAACGCATAATGAAACTAAACACAGTTTTTTAAGTTTCTATAGTTTCAAACTTTCAAGGCACTCTGAAAGATGACACTGTCAATTTGGTGTCATTAGTCATAGGCCTAAAACTAGTGTTTCTATCTATCAAGAATCCAGGATTAAGTGAGGAAGGAGTGCTTGAGGGCAAAGGAGTAATGGCCAGATTTATTCTAGGAAGCCATCTTTAATCTGAATTATTTCTATGGTGTAATTTATGTTGAGAAATCCTGAAATTTGTATAAAATATGCCACAGAAAGAACAGCCAGTGTTGATAATATTTCAGAAGCCCTTCTAAGAAATTACCATGGTTTCCTCCTGTACAACAACAGGAGATCTGTGGGTGAAGAGTGATAACACTTTGCAAATCTTGATGTGTAAAAGCTTCTTAGCAAGGACCTCAAGTGCTATGGAATCCTACCTACAGCTCTGTACTCCAAAATCCCATTGCCTGTGTTTCCCTGCAGGCAACAGAGAGGCTCCCTGCTCTTATGAACAATTTCTTTGTCACAATTGGGTTGTCAAATCATAATGCACACATATATACACATGTACATATATACATATATATATATCCTGTGACCTATTTACATCCAGAGAGGTCACAAGTTATGCTGAGAACACTATAAGACAAAAACCATAAGAGATACCATTTCTTCTTACACAGTCTCTTTGTTTTGTCATCTCCTTTCCCCAGTCCCCTGCCCAAATCTTATCCTCAGTATTTGAAGGAAGGGAGAAAGAAGGGAGAAATGATGGTATCAGATAGGATATAACAATTTTCACCCTTAAAATTACAGTTTATTTCTTCACACAAGGAAGGGCTTTCTAGATAGCTTCAGCCATCTGTAAAAGCATGATGGTCAGGTATTTGTTCTAAATTTGTTCTAAATTAGGGGAGAAATAACCAAGGTGAAAGAATTTTTTGTTAGTAGACTTCAGAACAACTTTCCAAGGAGAACTCCCTTAAGAGATACTGATTACAATTACTTTTTCTTGGAATCTTTTCATTCTACCTGAAAACTCAGCACACTATCCATATATTAGTTAGCCTTCAAAAATGTATCTGCATTACCTAAAGAGCTGAAAACTAGGTGTTTGGATTTTTTATGAAAGCTGAAGTTCTTCTAGTCCTTGGAATGACCATCAAAGGAGCATATTTAGATGGTGTTTCATAACTGTGCACACTAAATCTCAGATCTTACTTATATGATGCATCATACCAAATCCTTGGACAGTATATGTATGGAAAAAAATACTCTTCTTAATTTGTTATTGTAGTTCCATGCTGACCCATTAAAATGTGGGTTTCAGAGAGGTTACAGATAAAGCTGTGATGTTTTACTTTGCACAGCTGGGATAAAACACTGAATCTTGTTAAATGCTACATCCATATTTAAAGTTGGACTGAGACTGGTGCTGTCACTGTGCACCTTCTCAAACACAGCACAGGAATTCCATGCTTCCTTTCAAGTCTGTGTTTCAAGCCTGCACAAAAATAGTCTCATTTTATGATTATATTATGAGATAATCTCTATGTCACATACATTTTTCATTGTATAAAAATTCCCTTCCCAAACAAGAGCAGGTTTAATATTGACAACATGGTTTCTCTTTATTATTCACCATCATGCTGCTATGAGATCTTATATCCATCAAGGGAAGCTGGCTGGAGCACTACAATCTAAACAGCTAAAGGATAACACTAAGCAGATGAGCTAAAGAACACAAGCAACGAAAACTTGTATGTTTTAGTTTCAGAGCAAATGTCCTATGCTGGCAGAAATTCTTTTCCCACCAATGCCAGTGATTAGTACTAAAGTTGAGAGCAGTCTTTTTGCAGCCATTACCCTCCATTACCTTTATTCCTCCAGCCCTTTGCTATCATGCCTCGTTTACTGCCTCCCATCATTAGCTAAGTTATATTCTATAGAGACACCTACTGCAAGGAGAATAGTCCAAAATGTTACTCACCATACAGGGCTTCAAACTGAAAGCAGAGGACACAGAAAGTTACAGCAACTGCCTTCATGCCTGCCTGACACAGAGACATCAGCCTTCTGTCTACTGTGAGGATGGGGAAACACACATGGGTAGAAAAGGAAGTGGTTTGTGGGCTCTGGGGAAAATTGTAAGATAATCAGAATGACTTTTTAATTTAACATTTGTCTCCTGACTACATTATAGCTATGTCAGCATTAGCTGTTGCACATACCTGGTTTAATGTTTTATTTTTTTTCCTACCTAACGGTTTGCTGTCACAGACAAGAGGATGAAAGACTTTCTGACATTACTTTTAATGTTCACTTTGCACAGACTGTCTCTGGTTAAGTCTATCACAATATAGGCTGCAGTCATCTACAGTAGATTTCTGCAGATGGCCCGTGGTGAGCAATCAGTATTACCTTACAGTACATGCACATTTGTATCTGGCAACCTGGTTTTCCCCCACTAATTTCATCTGGTTTTACATAACTAATGGTCTTGTTCTATGTGTAAACCATTCGTTAATGGGATAGGAGTCTCTCGTGTGTCCTGGTCCTGAAATTCATGGGAAGAACATGGCCAAATCTCAGAAAGATCTCTTCAGCTTTGTGACTTCTAAACAGTTCATCCCAGTGTGACTTCCGTCCTGGAGATCAGGCTTGTTTTGCCTGAAGTTTCATGAGAAATTTCATGTGGCTCTGTGAGAGGAGATCTGACTCAGTGCCCTAGGGCCTTAGGTCAAAAGGTTCTCTCCTTCCCTCTTCCTTGCCTTTGTGCAGCACACTCTATCCTGGCCTGTTATCCATCTTTATCCCGGGAATGTTTTAGGACCCTTTGTAACATGTTCTACAATCATTTAATCCTGGCTATTTATGTCTATAATACTAATTTTAGGGCAGAAAATATGCAAGAACACCAGCTTCTAAATAATGTTTAAGATATTAGATGAAGTTTGCATTTCTGATTGCACAAAGAGAAAACACAAAGGACTGCCAGTGGTGCCTGACAGACACTGCTGAGGTTGAGTCCTTGTAATGGTCAAATAATTGGAAAATAACAGGACTGTGCTACAGATTCATTCCTACTTTGTACTGTGTAAGTAAATCCTCACATGTTGGTTTACTCTTCTTCAAAAAGTGATTTAATGTCTTTCACTATTACTGTTCAAGATCTGTTCACATGGACATTGGCAGAGTTTTACTTTCTTCAAATTTTTCCAAAGCCCTGCAAATCTGTTTTTTTTAAAGTTACAGTAGGAACTAAACCTGAGTCAAATTAGGCATTATCTAAATTTTCAGTTCAAGTCTCTGGGGCCAAAATCAACTCTAAGTAGAGAAAGTTTCTGCAGTATGCTTTTAATTCTAAAGCCCAAAAGTATATCAAGGTTCTAAGAATGATACACCTTCAAAATATACATCTGGCTCCTGAGATTTGCCTATGAAGTTGTAAACTATGTTGGGAACTACTGAGGTTCCAGGTAGGATCATCTTTTTTATCCCACATAAAAACTAATGGGAAGTGCTGAGAGGACAGAGCAATCCTCTCCTGGGACATGACCTTTACTGTCCCCCAAATAAACTTAAGAGTGGCCCCTAGGAAAAGCCTATAGTAAAAAGAGCTGCTGCTGCTGCAGAGAATTAAGGGTGGAAGAGAATCATGTGTCAAGTACCCCTATGCACATCTTTGGGAGAGCATGGTGACAACACACACCAAGAATTGACTCCTACAAAACTATCACTGACTGGGAAGGCCAATAAATGTGATGGGAAATGTACTCCATGTGCAAAGTTTTGGCTACTTTTTTATGAAAACAAGCTTTAAAACAAATCAGTATTGTTGGGGTTCAAAAATTTGTTGTCTTTCTTAAAAATCTAAACATTTTGTTAGGAAAGTAATTTTGTTAGAATTTTTTTTAACCAATATAGTTATTTTGGAGCAACTTACTCCTTCCCTCCCTCCCTATGACCATGTCACTTACACCAAGGCAGAGATGATTAGTACACATCTATATCACTTTTGGGGAAGAATACCTACCAGCATAGCTTGGCTGGTACACATGTCATTAAAACAATTGAAGGAAGACTCACTGTCCAGTTTGTATATGTCAAGTCCTCTCTCTTTTCTATAACTATAGTTTCAAGTCTACAATTACACCTTCTCCTTTTCTGCTTCTTGGCACTTGGGATGGCTAAAACACACTGACCCCTTTATTTCAAAAGGGTCGAGCCCAGAGAATACTTTGCAGCACATTTGGCAGCACTCTGACGTTTGATCTGAACAGTAATTCCAAGTGTATTTGATGATAAGCTGGCAGAGCCAGGGGCACTCACAGCGTACATTCACAAGCGAAGAGACACAAAGTCAAGTTCTGCACTCAGTGTGATGCTTTCCCTCTAGTCCCACACCAACAAACACCTCCTCTGCCTTTCAATCTTTCCATCTTTGCCTCACTCCCCTATCAGTGCTTACCTACTTCACAAAGATATTGTTACTGCAATTTAGAAGTGTTTCTTCTAAATACCACAGTTGGTTACGGTTAAACACCTGGAACAAGTCTGTTTCCACAGGCTTCCTACAGCTGTAACTATTTTTGCTCACAAACACGTGTTTCCTTTTTCCATCTTCACTTATTTCTCTTCTCTGTGTCATGATTTTCATTCTCCTATCCACATACACCTCTCAGAGCTGACTTCTTTCCTCCTTCAACCTGAGTGTCTCCCAGTCCCTGAGCACCCTGCTCCTCAAGCAGTGGAATGCCTTCACCATGTGCAGAAACTCCTGTCTGGAATGGAGCTTTTTCTTCACCCCAAGCCCTATATCTTCATGTCCTACTCCCAAGGCTACCCTATAGTGAAAATCTTCTTTTCTTCCTGTCATCTTGTTTCTGACTGTTTGCAAACTGGAAAATCCTTATGTGAATTTTCCTGCCTTTAAAAATGCATTCAGTGATACACTGAGTTCCAAAGAGAATTGGGCTTGCTCATCCCTTGCTCCATACACTAACATTCTCTACTACACAGTCTTCAGTGCTTCTTCCTTCTAACTCTGAGTAATCTGGAAAACACTTCTGCAGTTTCCCCAAGGACACAACAAAGAATTTCCCTGTGTGTATGATGTATATTTTTCTGTGTTCTGCTTAATCACATAATTACTGTTATCACTCAAAACAATGTTATGTAAGTGAAATGATACTGCATGGTCCACTGTGAAACCAAGGTCCAGTGAAGACTTTTATTCTATCCCACCAGCAGTTTTCCACTTCTGCTCATGGATGAGCAGCTGGTCACAGCAATATTCTCTCCATAGAATGTTTTGCAATTCTTTCTGCAGAGACTGCTACAGTCTATCCACAGAAATTATATTCCATTGTCTCCTGCTGCTTCCCATTCTTCGCTTCAATATCTGGCCTATATTCTCATGACTCTGGGTCATTCCCTCAGGGCTGGAGCAGAAATCCTCTATACTCATGCGTTTTCATTTCCTGTCCTCCTAATTGAGAAGGGGAACAATGACTTTCACTGTGCTATTTTTAAAGTTCTGTGATAGCTTTAAATCCCACTTCCCATCTGCACCACTCCCCATTAGGTGTGTAAACAAGCTGCAGTCATTCAGGATGTAGAGATTTCAGCCGAAACGCAGCTCGTGTGCTCCCTCATTTGTTCTGATGCCTCCTCTGCTGACATATTGGTGTGGTCACTCCCCCGGGCTGTGGGCATGCTGTAATATTCTCTCCATCAACGTACCAGTAGAGGCAAGCAGGGCTCAGCAGCAGGGCAAAAACCTCCCTGCAGAGCAGATCCCCTTTAGGGATGTGACGGTCTCCTTTGGGGTGGAATTGTGAGTGGCTTTGTTTCTTGACACAAGCTCAGTTACCCTATTAATCACTTCTTTTTGGGTTTGTTTTGTTGTGGTTTTTTTCCTTTGGATGATTCTTGAGAATATTTGTCATCAAGTTTTCTAAAAGAAAAAAAAACGCAGTATGTTAAGGAGTTTAGCCCAGGTCTAAGGTTTGTAAGGGCATTGACCTATAAATTCAGGTGCTAAGTGGCAAATTGAGTCAAGTCTAATAAGGCTGCCCAGAGAGGCAGCAGATGCCCCCTCCCTGGAAAATCCCTGGCCTAGTTGAAGATGTCACCACTTATTGCTGGGAGACTGGACTAGATGGTGTTTAAAGGTGCCATCCAAGACAAACTGTTCAATGATTCTAAATGCTTCTTCAGATCCTGGAACTACTATTTTGGGCTGGCTGACTCAAGGCAGCTGAGAGCCACCTAGGAAAATACTGTCTCCATCTGATTCTAGGAGCTGCTATGCCTCTGTGTATCCAGCCCTGTCTCTCCTACAACACAGTTACCTAAAAGAGGTACTGAACACATCTTCAGGATGTGGGGTGTAGATAGACAGAAAGAGCCCAGTGATGCTCAAGTGCATGTGCTGGTGGGGTGGACTGCAGACCTACAGGGTGGCTGGGGAAGGTTTACTGTCCTCAACAACAACCACAAAACTAATGACCATGCTCCTGCCTTTCGAGGTCTACTAGGAAGAGGACTGTCAGCAGCAGGTACTTTTTGCTGGCACATGCTGGAGTGTGCAGGAGGTATTTAGGAAAATACAAGGGCTGTAGATGGCCTGTGTTCGGGGGCAATGTTCCAGAAGGAGGAGTGTATCTTCTGAAGCCGTCGCAGTTCCCTGTGGCCGTCCTGCTGCTGTGGGAGTTTTTTACAGGGCCCCTTATATCTAGGTTTGGAAAGGAGGTCTTTCAGAACAGATGGCAAAAAAAACGTAAAACCCAAGTGAAGTGCAAACCTGGAGACCAAGACTCTTACTGCCTGGCACTAGGGGGAGCAGTGCATGACAGCTATATGTGCATGTGCTGGATGACCATGGAATTTATTCTAGGAGGGACAGTAACAAATTATACACATTTTGTAAAATTTTCATACCCCGAGTCTTTCAAAGCTTGCAGTAGGGTGGGAGCCCCTGTTATGTGGTTATCTGGTCAGCTGCCTTTGAGGAGTTAGGATGGAAAGAGACATATTCTGTGGTGATGCTTGGGGTTTGTGGTGTGGTTTTTATCTCAGCATTGTTGTGATTACTTTTTAAAGGTAAACTCTTGCTACCACGGCCTTGACAGTGTAACAAAGAGATACTTTCTGCAACAGAAACAGCCATGAAAGTGGTGGTGAATTTTTGCAGATAACAGATAAATGAAAAGTTACGCTGAAAATTGCAAGGACAGGTTAAGCAGTCCCTGTCTTGGACTTACAGAAACACTAAAGTGTTAAAGGCTGGGAACACACATATGCTTTTCCCAGCTGACTTAAACTGCTTTTTGGAAACCCTTTCTCTCAAGGGTCTCCAAGCCAGACTTCACTGTTGTTGTTCGTGGTTAGCTGGAATGAGGCTTAGACAGCTCAGGCCTTGGTGGATTTGCAGAGTAAGAAAATGAAATCACAAATATGTAAGTAAGTCTCCTTTATTTTGTGTCTGTCATTCAGAATCTCACAGGTTACTGCCTTGGGACCAAAGTTCTTTATCCGTGCAGGCCAAGGCTACCGAAGGCGGTACTCCCACCTGCAAAAGTGAGATCCCTCGCTCCTCCAGGCGCGCTCCTCTGATGCCAGACCAAAGACAATCAAAGCTGGTGCTGTGTCGGCCCCGGGCTCCTGACGAGAGGGACTGGTCAAGGATTTCTTCCCCTTCTGCAGGAGAGGCTACCAAGAGCTGTCTTTCAGGCTGAGCTCCCCTGGACGCTGAGGCTGACCCGCGGCTGAAAGCCCTGCAGCCCCTGGTGACCGCCCGGGAGCCCCGGAGCGCGGGCGGCTCTGCGGCTCTG